AGTTCCCTGGGAGCACTGACTGATTCCCAGCACCCGGTCCCTCAGTTAACGGGGAGCACTGACCGGTCCAAGCACCCGATCCCTCAGTTAACCAGGAGCACTGACTGATCAGCGAACCCATCTGCAGCTGCCCACCCACCTGGAGAAACCCCCGTCTCCCAGGCGGCTCCGCAGAAGGCTGAAGGCCTCGATGGAGGCGAGGAGGGCCACTTCTGCAGCTGGGAGGTGCTGCAAGTGGTGCGGGGAGAAGCGTGGAGATGTGCTGTCTTTGTTGATGCCTCCCCGTGGGGGCTGGGAGCTGCTCTGGTCAAAATAGCCCCCGTGGCTGCACTTCCCTGGGTTGAGGAGAGAGATCAGGCATGTAAGGGTTAAACGTCCACTAACCACTAAAAAATACAGGGTCCTGGCCTGGCCTCTCACCCTTCAGCAAGGGAGCATCAGGAAATGACATTTTGTGTAAATCAAGAGGGCTCAGGGTCTCTCTGCATCCAGACCCAGCCCTGCCCAGGCAACAAAGAAAGACGGGGTCTCCTCAGAGGCCTTTATCCACCCACCCTGTCCCTATTCCCCCGCCCTTTCCTAAGGAGACAAACAGGGTCCTCTGTTAAAAACAAAGAAAGTAACTCTCCCTTCTTCCTTCTAGGGACCTTTCCCACCTGGTACCTGGAGGTTTGGGGGGATCCATTCCAAAGTATCCAGAGGTGAGCAGTGTGGAGTCCAGCAGATTCCCAGGGCAGCTCAGCTCCTCACAGTCAGAGCAGGTGGGGTCACCCACTGGGAACAGAAGGCAGGGCTGCAGGCCAAGTTCAGCCAGCTGCACTTTCTCCCTGGTTACCTAATGCCTTCCTCTCACAGGGCTGGAAAGACAGAAGGGACCACAGGCACCTTGGCCTGGCTTTCTGCACTAGGTCCTGGGCTCAGTATTGGGATGTCTGAGATTGAAGCTGGTGTACAAAACCCAGACGTGTGGGATCTGCCGTGGACAGGAGCAGCTCCCAGTGAGTGGGGGATGTGGGGGGTGTGAGGGGCTTAGAGAGAAGGCTGTGGAGTGGAGCAGGCATGGCTGGGCAGAACAAGCCTCACGGAAGACTGTATACAGAGCTGGTCCACGGCCCTGGATGTTTCCCCTGTGTGATGCTGAGAAAGCCACTCAACTGTTCTACCCGTGAGCCACACTAAGAAAACTCATCGTCCTTGCAAGGATAAAGCAACGTCACATCCTATGAGACCCCGGAAGGTGACAGTGATGCGTGCACTGAGGAGAGGGGCTCCCTGAGCCCCCTCTTCCACACAGAGTCACGACCATACCTTGTGCCAGGCTCCAGAGCTCCAGTCTTGGCCAGAGGAGGTGAGGGTGTGGTTGCCGCTTCCCCAGCTCCACCCAGTTGCTGTGGCTGTAGAAATCCTGGCCCCCAGGCCAGAGAGAAGGGGAAAAGGCATGGATTTGATCTAGCCAGCATCAACACCACGCTGACCTGCAGTCTGGTGGATAGTCTCTCCTCCGTCTCCCGCCCCCCGTTACTGTTATTTACTGTCCCCCACTTCTGTTCTCATTGTCCAGATGGCAAAGCCTTTTGTTCCAGCCTTTTCTGTCTTGGGGTCTAAGTCAAGTGCTTTCTAGTGGCCCCTAGGATAAACTGACATCTGCCACTTCTACGTCTTCCTCTCCTTTTCCCTCCTCTGTAGCCCCTCCTGCAGGACACAGGAAGTACTGCCGCCACCCCACCCACCCAGAGTAGGGGGAGACAGGTTAAAAGGCACCATGAGTCACCTGCAGGGCATGAAGTGCAGCCCCTAGGCGCTGGCGGGCCAACGTGTGCTCAAAGGCTCTGGCGGCCACCAGGGTCTCCCGCAGAGCCCCCACCAGGAACGTGCGCCCCTGGACCAGCCGTTCAGCATCAAAGTGCAGGTCAGGATTGTTCTTGGAAGCTGGCAGGAAGTCTTGGGCTGCATTGGCACGAGCCACCTCTCCCAAAGCACCTCTGAACCGCCGGGAAGGAGACCCAGGTCCAAAGTAGGCAGCAAAGATGTCATCGGCAAGGAGGGTACGGCCCTAGCAAGAGTGGTGAGGGAAATGGACTCCGGAGAAGCCCCTGGCTTCTATCGCTGCCCGAACAGCCTTAGCAGCTGGCACTCCAGGCTGGGCAGGAACAGGATGGAGGGTGACCAGCCCCACTAGGGAGCGTCAGATCTGCACTGTTTTCTACGGAGCCCTGCCTGACCTGCCTGGCTGGGCACTATGTAACAAACCCAGGTTGGCCTTAACCAGCAACTGTCAACTGCTCGGATCACAGGCATGAGCCCCACATCCAGCTAAGTATACTTTCCCAAGGCTGGAGGATTCTGGTGTTGCATAGGGGGAGTGAGAAGTGAGCAGGTGAAAGGTGGGTGAGCCTACCCTGACCACCAGGGCCCTGAGAAACCACGGGGAATGGTAGGATCTGAGAGGATCCAGGAATGCTCACCTTGTAGTCCTCCAGACGAAGGCGTGGTCGGCCTGGGGGTGGGTGCTCCAGAAAGAGCTGGAGGGTGACATTGAGAGCAGCCTCCTCAGTCAAGTCCTGGTGAGTGAGAGAGCCAGGGGCCGCCAGGAGGCTCCAGATGTTGGGAAAGAAGGCAGATGTTGGGGACAACAGCAGCTGAAGCAGAAGCAGTATTGGGGGGCCCAGGTGGGACAGGGGCACCTCCACAGGGAGCATGGCTGAGTCATGGACCTAGGGAACAGAAGGTTCTCAAGGGAGAAGCCACCCTCCCAGGGTAGGCCTTGCTGTCTCCATGGCACCTGCTGTCCACTTCCTGCTCCGCCTCCGGTGCCTCATCTACTCCAGCCTGGCTCTCGCACCCTCAACCTGCAACCCATCTAACCCAAGGGCTCATCAAGCCAATAGAGCACACACCTGCCATCAGAGGGGTGGGAGGCTCCTCAGGGCTCTTTTCCTACACCAGGCTGAGCCCCAGCCCTGCCCCATGAACAGGAAAGTCCCCTCAGGCCTCTCCTACCTGGTTGCTGAGTCTCCTGGGCAGTGCTGGCCTGGCCGTGGAGTCACAGGGCACTTAGGTCAGAGTTATAATTAACTGGCCTCAGGAGAGTGGGAGGAAGGCCCTTAGCAAGGGGTGAGGACAGGCAGCCCCAGGCCTCTTCATTCATGGCACCCAGGGGGACGAGATGCAGTGAGTCGGGGCGGCTCCGTACCCAGCGCAGGCAGTGCGGTGAGGTGAGCTGGGAGGAAGGAGCCAGCAGCAGAGCAGCATGACTCAGGCCTGGCACTGTGCCAGGCACAGACCCAGCCAGCCGCATCCTCTGCCCACCAGGACCCAGGCCTGGCTGCTAACCGGCAGCCTTACTGCCGCACACCCGCCCCCCTCCTGCCCCCACCACACACAGACAAGAACAATTTTTGACAAAATATTTTATTGCTGCCATTCCTGTTGGTGGACCATGGGGGCTTTGAGAGTTGGAGTTGGGGGTCACAGCATCTTCTGGAACAGAGCAATGGCCTCATCCACCTTCCTGAGTTCCGCCTCTGTCTGTTGTAACTGGGGGTGCAAAAGGGGTGTGTGGTGAGGACCCATGCCCAAGGAGATCCAAATACCCCACACTACAGAGCAAAGGGCCCAAGCTGGCGAGAGAGGTTGGTATGGTTGGCGGGCACCCCACACTTCCATCGTCCCTGCCTCTACAGTCTTCTTCCTGAGCGGCCAGCACCCAGTGAAGGGCGTCAGATCACACGCCCTGCTTGGCTGCACCCTACCCTCTTCACTGTAAGGAGAAAAGGGGCTGAGGGTGAGCACTCAGCTGGAGCCAGTGCCAGGCCTTCTTGAAGACCTCAGAGGCAAGGGTCTTCAGAGACCCCACACCAGGAGCCTGACTGAGTCAGTCCGGAAGCTAAGCAGGGGCAGACGCTACACCTGAGACTCCTGACTGCCACGTGGGGTTCCAGGGTCTAGGCACCTGGGCTGGGAGAGAAGCAGGGTGTGACAGAGGAAGTTGATGCTGGGGTGCCCCCGCCACACACCTTCGCCTCGTCTGCCTCCTGGACCTCAAGGGGCACCTTGGCAGAGTAGCCAGAGGCAGCACGGCGCTCCTGCAGCCGCTGAGCCTGGCGCTGGGCCTCACTTCGCTTGGCCTGCAGCTTGCCCAGCTCCCGGGCTGGGTCCACTAGCCCCTGCAGCTGCAGGTGGATGGAGCAGCGGTCTGACGCCACAGCCACAGCACAGCCCTGTGGTGCAGGAGCCCCCAGGGCCAGGACAGCAACCACACCAGCACTGGCCAGCGCCTGCACATAGCCCGACACCGCCAATGCCAAGGCGCCTGTGGCCTCATCAGCTACTTCCAAGAAACCTGTCAAAGAGGGAAGAAAGCCAAGCCTGGCTACAGCCCAGCCCTGAGCTCCGGAGGGGCTGAAGAGGACAGTGGGACAGGGAACATAGGGCCCTAGGCTCACAGTCAGGCCTGGTCCGGGTCAGGTTGTAGTCGGCACGTAGGGAGCGCACAGCTCGGGTGATGCTCAACGCCAGCTCAAGAGCAGCTTCGGCCTCGGGGTCCTTCCAGGAGCACTGGGGGCAGAGTGGGGTAAGAAGGCCGCTCGGGTGGGCTACAGCACGCCCTCCAGGCCACACCGCCTACCTCTGAGGGCTCTGGGTAGGGGGTGACACACAGGCTGGCGGGAGCTGCTGATGTCCGCCGGGGCAGCCTCTGGAACAGCTCCTCTGTGACGAAGGGCATGAAGGGTGAGAGCAGCCGCAGGCCGACGTCCAGGCAGGTATAGAGAGTCTGCCGGGCACATTCCGCTGTTGCCTCATCCACTCCATTCAGCACGGGTTTTAGGCATTCCTAGAGATGGGGAGGCACAGTGTTCAGGGTCAGGGCTACCGGAGCCTTCACTGTGCCTCTGAGGACTGGAAGGCAACAGGTAGACTCAGTATAAGAGCCAACACGCGGCAAGTTAATGCCAGAGCCACAGGACCTAAGTCCCAGCCCTGCTGCTCACCAAGTAGACGTCACAGAGCTCATAGAGCCAAAAGCTGTACTGGGCGGTGGTGATGGCCGGAAAATCGTAGGCCTGGAAGCCTTCATTGCTGAGCCTCACAGCCTCAGTGAGTCGGCTGCGGATCCAGCGGTCCACCAGACTCTCATGCCCTTCAGGCTTGGGGGAAGAGGAATGTCAGCCAGGAGGCTACCACATGCCCAGATCCCACCCACAAGAGAGTCTGCATTCCTGACTTGTCCAGTGTCTGGGGAGAAAGGATAGGCCCAGCCCCTCGGTGAGAGCCCTAGTGCCTGTCAATCATCAGCCTCTGTCTGTCCCCTGCCTACAAGGAGGATGAATCCTCGGGTATTGGTACAGCAGGGACTAAGCTTGACACTTGAGGACCAGGGGTGCAGCCTGTGTAGGTGCTATCAGCAATCCCAGCCAGAAGATCCTCACCTTGGAGGTGGGCAAGGGCACAAAACTCTTCCCAAGGCCACGCAGGGCAAACTTTGTGGCATTCCAGAGTTTGTTGCAGAAGTGGCGGTACCCCAGGATCCTATTTACATCCAGGTTGATATCTCGACCTAGGGGAGGGGCCAGTGTGACTCCACCCTGTTTTCCTTCCCAGAGAGGTCCTCTGCAGGCCCAAGGTGGAGGAGACCATGGGTCTTGGGGAAGGAAACAGGCAACCCGAGGGAGGATGGGGACCATACCTTGGGATGTGTAGGCACAGAGTCCAAAGCGCAGGGCATCTGTACCACACTCGGGAATCCCTGCTGGGAAGTCGGCTTTCTACAGGGTGCAAACAGATGGTCAGCCCCGCTCACCTGCTGCATCTCTACCCCCGGGGCATGCCCCCATACCTGTCCTTCTTTGGCTTTCTCCACCTCAGTGGGATCCAGGTTGCTGTTCAAGAGTTGGTCATGGAGGCCCTAAGAGAGGAGATGGGCGCCGTCAGGTTGTCCTAGCCACAGCTGCATCGCTGTTCCTAGCTGACCCACTGAGTGCCCCACCTGCAAAGAAACTCCATGGATGACATCCAGGGGGTCGATGACATTGCCAAGAGACTTGCTCATCTTCCTACCATGAGCATCACGCACGATTGCATGGAGATAGACCTGGGGACACACAGCGCAAAGAAAATGAGGCCATGATCCTTCCAGTCTTGGCCCTCACCAGGGTCTGTCTGCCTACCCAGAATCAGAGGTCCCTAGTGGCCCTACTCACTCAGTGCTTTAATATATCTGAGAAGTGCCCCTCCCCTGGGAAGGAGGAACCCTCCCAGCTGTGGGACAGACTGAGCAATGCTAGTCCTAGCCAGCAACCACACAGGAAGGCAGGTGAGGAGGCAAAGGCGGGGGGAGGCTGGGGTGTCTTAGCGATCTCCACACCTCTCTGAAGGGCAGTCTGCCTGTGAGTTTCAGGCCGAGCATGACCATCCGGGCCACCCAGAAGAAGAGGATGTCATGGCCCGTCTCCAGCAGGGTCCCAGGGTAGAACACATTAAGGTCTTCTGACTGGGGAGATGAGGGTGCAGAAGTGAGCCAAGCTTTCCCTTACAAGGTCTCCCCCTCCACCCCCCTCACTCTAGGAACACACCTGATTGGGCCAACCAAGGATGGAGAAGGGAAAGAGACCAGAAGAGAACCATGTGTCCAATACATCCTCATCTACAAGAGGTCAAAGGTCAGAGGTTAGAGATTGGAAAATAGGGCCAGGATCCCAACTGTGTCCCCATCTTCCGTGTCCACTCCCTGCCTTGCTGAAGGCTGATCTTGTCAACGGACACTCCAAACTCGCGGGCTGCCTTCTCTCTGGCCTCTGCTTCGGTGCGTCCACTCACCCAGTACCGCCCGTCAGGGTCCTAATACAGAGGGTGATCATAAAAGGGTCTGCTGTTTCACCCAGACCCCTCTGCCAACCAAGGGGACAACCAACCCACATCCACTCCAACATCTAAGCTACATCCTTTCCTCACCTCCCCAGGGGGTACAGCTGGGTCATGGACGGTGATAAAGTAGGCAGGGATTCGGTGGCCCCACCACAGCTGCCGAGAGATGCACCAGTCTCTACAAACAGTGAGCGGTGAGTTAGGGAGCTCAGTATGTGCCCCTCAGATGGCAGTCCTCCCCACCCACCCAGGGGCTACACACACCGAATGTTGTCCATCCAAGAATGCCAAGTCCGTTGATGGGCCTCAGGCAGGATACGGAGGTCGCCCCGGGTCACAGCCGCACTGGCGGCCTGAGCCATCTCCCCACAGCGCACATACCACTGCGGCCTTAGCAGAGGTTCTACCACATCCTTGGAGCGGCTGGAGGAGGAAGTGGGTTGTGGAGGAGGCAGGTGCTAAGTGCCCAGAGAGTCCCATTATTTCCCATCTGCACCAGTCCCCGGTCCCCAGTCTCACTTGCAAAGCGGCACCACCATGGGGTTGTCCTTGACGCCACGGAACAGTCCCCGCTCCTTCAGTGCAGCCAGCACTGCCTTCCTAGCCTCAAACCTGGGCAGGCCCTAAATGGGAACGGCCTCATCACAGCAATGCCCAAGTAACCTTCCACCCCCCGCCAGTCCCCACAGTCCAGACGTCCTCACCAAGAAAGGTGGAGGCACATTGACAAGCGCCCCCTTTGAGTCCATGATGCTGACGGCCTCCAACCCATGCCGCTGCCCAACCTCATAGTCGTTCTGGTCGTGGGCAGGGGTGATCTTCACGGCACCTGTTACACAGGAGTGCCAGTGTCCCACTGCATTCCTCTTGTGCTGAACGGTGTGGCTCCCGGACCACCCCACACCCACTCCCTAATACACTTTCCTGCATCCAGCCCCAGTCCTGCCTACGGGAGTGAAGATAACTTTTTATCTCTTCTCAACAGGCTAAGGCCCCCGCTCACCTGTGCCAAACTCCATGTCCACAAAGTCATCGAAGACAACAGGGAGGCTCCGGGACAAGAACGGATGAATGACACTCTTCCCCTTTAGGTGCTGAACATGGAGGAAGACATCAGAAATGAAAGGCGCAAGGCTGGGCACGGGACCCTCACCCAGGCAGAGACTCCTATCCTGGGCTAGCACCCATCCCAGCTGCCGACAGCTCTGGGCTGGGAAAGGCGCCCAGAGAGCAGCTCACACCCTCAGAGCCTGTCCCACACGCTCCTCCCTGGAACACAGGCAGTGTCCCTGCCTACCTGGTATCTGGAGTCTTTGGGGTGCACAGCTACAGCCACATCTCCCAGCATGGTCTCAATCCGAGTTGTTGCCACCACCACTTCCTCGTCACTGTCTGGGGTGACAGAGGAGCTGGGTCTCAGTCCCTCCTCTGTTCCTGCCCTCCTCCCCCA